CATGAACACTAAGTATTTAAATGCAGAAACCAGGCACACGCAAATATATCTGAAGAACTGTATGTATCTAACTATGATAATCTGGCCCACATGTCTATTACTTCCCTCCACCCCTCTTCTGTTTTTCCTGGGGGTGAGGGGGGAAATTCTTGAACATGATAGTAAATTAGAATGAGCATAGCACACAGTAAATTCTATGGCAATTTCCACATGCTGCTATGCCAATGCAACTCAAATCCAACCTACATCATCACAACCTGATTAAATTGTGGGCCTCTCAACAGTCAGTGACATGCATGCTAAATTTGGTACAAATTAAAGTGCTTTTGATGAAGCAGACAAATGTCCTCTAAGGACTAAGATGAAATCAGTGTATTCATTTTAATTGTCACCACACTAGAATTTGACACCCGATCTTTTGAAACACTGGTTCATTAGCTCACTATACCAACATGTAAAATGAGAGGGAACTATATTACTGATCTTATTCTGTGATACTTATATAACTATGGTTGAAGGTGTTAATTAAAAACTCCTATTTTCAGAACTTATACACTTTGTGCTCATAACTCCTTCTCCAGAAAGAAACTGGGTATGCAAGATTCCACCTGGGATCATAATTTATTTTAAAATAAAGTTTTAAATACAAATAATCAGAATGTGAGTTATAGAAAACAGCGGTGAAAACTTTGGATACTTTTTGGCCACTCTCACAAATAAAATAAATGAGGGAGTTATTATTTATTTTACAGTAGCACCTATACATCCAAATCAGGGATCAGGCCCTCATTATGCTGAAAATTCTTTTAATTTTCATGCACACTTACTAAAAGACAATTCCTTCTCCTAAGGAGTTTAAACTCCAGGGTTGTTTGATAACACAATGCTGGTAACTCGACTCTCATACTAATTTTTTTTTTTTTACTGTGTAATCATATGAGGCAAAAGAAGTTGTTGGTCTGGTGACTCTTTGTATCTTTGAAATTCAGTTATTCCAATAATAAAATGTAATCTTTTTTAAAAAATATCCAAATTAAAAAACAAAAGCAAAAACCACAAGCTTTGTAAGTCTTTGGCCCATTAAGTGAACAAATCACTTTGCCACTTTTAAAAGCAACAAAAAAGGGACAAATTAAGTTACATACTTTTACAAAGTTAGTAATTCTAGATGCACAGCAATCAGATTATCATGATCATTTTCTCCAGTTTGGAGTCAGTGATAGAATATCTCTTGTCATTTTTGGTTAAGAAATCAAAAACTACCTTACATATCCAAGAAGGGTTATCTCCCTCCTTTCCTTAAACCAAATAAATTCACACACAAAAACACAACATAGACAAAAAGATCACAACTGCAAAAAGTATAAGAAATGTGAACATATTTATAGTTAACAATGAAACATCCCCGAACCCTTCAAGCACACCTTTCAAATATAGCTCTTCACATGGGACATCACTCAATTCAAACACAAATTTACCTCCAAGTAAATTTACCTGCCGTTTTTCCAAATCCTGCTATTTCCTGTGAATTGGTATAAAAATGTTGAATCTTGAAGTTTAGGTCACAGAAACCTATATACCTAAAAGGAGCCAATGCCGTTCCAAGCCTCCTCATGTGCTTTTATTTATTTATATTTGTGTGTTCTCCATATTTTGGTGCTTTGCCACACATTTAGGCCATCACCAGATAAAAGTTTTACATCCCAATTTACAACTTCTTTTAATTTTCATGCAAACTTTATACATACATTTGTAAGATTAAATTTCTTTTTAGAATAGACTATAGTCCTATGCTTTCGGGCTTGGAATCTGAGCATTCATCTGGAAATTAAACAGTTTTCACTGGCCAGCTGCCAATGATCCTAAACCATTCCATCTAAGAATACTTGAGAGAAATATGTGAGAAACCACTATCCCCCTATTAAAAACAAGGTCCTGTGGACATAAACAGTAAATTTAAATTAGACCCAAGACCAAAACGGTAATCCTTACACACAGACTAGTTTTTAACCCTGTCTAATACTTATGAACAGAGGCAAAAGCATGTCTTCAATTCATGAAGACATTTATAATCCAAACAGTCTGGAAGTTTCAAAGACCAACTGAATTCCAAAACAAAATTTAAAATACAGTGTCCTGCTTAAACTGCTCTCTCAAATGTTTTATTTGCTGGAATACATAAACAAATTGCCCAATGTACCATGTAATTATTAAAACTGCCATTTCTCCAGAGGTAATAACTTATCTTTCCAACCTCTTTGTTTGGTTGAGTTTCTTCTAACCACATGAATTTAACCTCAGCCATGCCTAATGGTATTTGCTTATGCTGTAAAACAGGTTCTGAATCAGAAATAGTCATTAGGAGCTATTTCTAGAAGCAACCTATGTGGAGGGGAATATTGGAGGCAGTATAGTATCCAATGCAGGAAGGAAAAACAGCTAAGAGGACAGCATGGAGGATTGAGGGACAAAAACAATGGCAAGTTACTACTTTAATTATCCAGGTAGAACACGTGAAGTCGTTTTGGATGTAGTGGGTCATCCAAAAAAATCAGATGTTCACCTTGGTTACATAAAAGGCCTTTACCTGTTACCAATATGGCAACCAGGCCAATTACTCCAATAAAGTATCTAGACTCTTAGTACTGGAAAACAGTTTCAGGGAGTTATTTGTTTGAAATAATATTTTTCAATTTAAACCAAAGTGATGACAAGGAGCTCTGTATGTCCAACTGATCTCCGTAAATCACAACATAAAATCTATGAACACTGTTCATAGTAAGTACCTCTTTCTTAACTTTCCTATGGATACAAGTAAATAAGAATCATATGATTTGTAAATTACTAATTACAACTTAATTCTATGTTATGCTATACATGCTTTCATCTTCAATATTTCATAAAGTTAGATAATATCTTTTATTGGACCCACAAATACATAAACATTTGCATGAAATAATGTCCTTTCCTAAGCAATATAAAACTTTGAAATCCTTTCATCAGAAGTGATATTTCAAATAAATGGAACTCATTAAATAGCCAGCAGTTTTTTTAAAGATTCTGTAAGCTATGAAATTAATACCATTTCTTGAAATTTGACAGGAAATGTTTAATGCACAGTAAATTTACGGTACTCATTGTTAGCTACTTTGGAACAGTTAACCTTTTGAACCTTTCTTAGGGTATGCTGACCCCTAAAGGTCTAAAGGTACTACATTTGAATTAGCTACATAAAATTGAAAATATAGTATAGTGAAAGACCAGTTCTCCAATTTTCCACTTAGCTACTGCACTGAGAATATTTCATAAGTTTTTGGTTCCGAAATATTTTTCAGCTACCTCAGCAGGCATTCTTCATAATGGGGATTAAAATATGCCTGTAGATTGTTTTTACATACAGTATCACTCCTAGAAAATTAGGAATCTCCAAACCAGTAAGAAGCAAATCCCCTCCCCCAAAAGAAAAAGAATGCTTTCTCTGCCTTGCCTTGCAAATGCAAGACTGGTTTTATGGCATATTTGAAATTTATTCTCTTTGGAGAAACAGTGAGTAGGTGAAAATTTGGGTCACAGACACATGAGGTGCCACTAGGGTTTGCCATAGCAGAGGTCTTTGTGGTTGAGGCCATTAGCGGCCTGATTCGTCTCTGCCCCACTCTTCCTAACCTATCTCTATGCCCACAGTAATGGTCATTTGCCTGTGAGCTCCTCTCTTTCATGAGACACTTGGGCTCTTCCTCCCACATCCTTTCCTTTCTTCAGGATATATGGGCCACTCATGACTTACCATCTCTCCATTAGACCCCTTAGGCATTCTGTTCCTACGAAGAACCTAGCTCATTCATGTGATACCACCTTAGACACTTAATTCTCATGCAGTTCCCCCATGAGATAACCCTCTGCCCCAGAGCTCTCTATGTCACCACTGAGAACTCCCTTTGATTCTTTCCAATATAAGATGACTCTTCCCTTTCCCAATCAGGAGGCTAAAGATATGTCTACACTGCAGCTGGAAGGTGTGATTCCCAGCACAGGTAGACTTGCACTACCTCAGCTAGAACTAACATGCTAGAAATAGCAGTGGGGACGTTGCGGCAATGGCAGTGGCTTGTGATAGCCCCCGGAGTCCAAGACCGTCCGACCCCTTGCGTCCAGGCTTGGTCGGTGAGCCCAAGCCCCTGCCAGTGCAGCCACATCCACCCTGACATTTTTAGCATGCTAATTGAAGCTGAACTAGTGCAAGTCTGGCTACCTGTGCTGGGACTCACACCTCACAGCTGCAGTGTAGACATGTTCTAAGAGCCCCAACCCCTAACAAGGTGCCAAGTGCCCTCAAAGCCCCATTGAAGTCAACAGGGGAGACACTGCACATTGTTGGATCAAATGCTACACTGTCATGTGATTTGAACTAAGGTAATATTAAGAATTTTTTAAATATTAATAACAACATTTTGATTCCCACCACAATGAGGGTCTGAATAACAGAAAAAATACCATGACTCTTAATTTTAAGATAAACTTTTTTTTATTAAATTCGTGAAAGAACTAAGTTAGAAAGTAATGGCATTTTGAGGGCAAGGACTGTCTTTTTGTTCTGTGTTTGCACAGTGCCTAGCACAATGAGGTCCCAGTCCGTGCCTAGGACTCCTTAGCACTACAGTAATACACATAAGTAATAATAATACTGAATATCACAACTGAGAGTTTAACTGAAGTCCCTTAACATTGCAAAATACCGAAAAGCTACAGTAATCTACAAAAAACTACACTGGTTGAAGATTTACACATTTTGTCTTTCATGGAAGTTTTACAATTCTATTTTAAAAGACATAATCTTGCAGCTGCTTTTCTTTCACCCCAAATGTTTCCAAGAGGCAGAGCAAAATGATTGCAGAAAAAAAAGTCACTTCAATATATCAGCAAGAACAAATACATTCCAGTCAGTACCTAGCACTGGTACACCACCTGGGGTTACGCATTAACACCTTAAAAGTCCTTACCTTTTGACCAGTCCTCCATTTGTACTTCTGAACTTGTTTGATCTGGCACTCACTCTGGTTTTTGCTCCAAGATTGTAGAGCTAAAATAAAGCCAACTCTAGATAAATAAACTTGAAACAATATATTAGAACACACCTATGCCTACCCTTTATTTGACAGAGAATTTACAAGACAAATGATTTTTAAAATATTTATAGTAGGACAATAAACTCTGTGTATTTTAACAGTTAATGCTAAGCTATGCTTCTCAGTAAAAGATTTTTTTCTTCACACATTTAGTTTATAAAATGGTTTATTCAGCTTTCTGCTGGGTTTAATGCCTTTGTTGAAGTATTTATTAGTTTGCCTCCTTGTTCAAGTCCTGATCTTGCAAACACATGCTACCAAATGCAGCATTTACTACAGCAAGTAGTTCCATTGAAGGCAAAGGCATTGTTCACCACTGTGGCAAGTGCTACTCGTGCTAGTAAGTACTTGCGGAATTGAGTCCTTGAGCTGTTTATAATGTGCTTGCGTTTGTGAATTTCATGAGAAACACACAAAATAACCATGAACATTTTCAACTTGTACTTTAAGCTTGTATTTAAGAAGACAATTCAAACCTCTATAATAAAAAAAACTGCACTGTATATATACTGTTCCATATTATATACTGTAATATAAAACAAAACTTTTCAACTAGTCATGACAATATTTAATTACAGTTAATGGTAAATTTACTGTATTGATAAGACCTTTTACTTCTTTAGATTTTCATGAACTATTTAATATGATGGATTTTTAAGACTCTCTCTATAAAATATTTTATTTCATTTTTACATACAACATATTATCTTATGATACTTTGTCTAAACACTTTACCATACACTTTATTTGTGAGCTTTGCTTTTTGTTTACCATCTAAGTTTACCATAAACTTTTTAAATTATCTATAGCAACAGCAATTTTTTACCCTTCAAGTACAGGTGTTGGTGAAACACCCAAAAATAAATACTATATTGTATTCTGCATTTGTCTAAAAATACAGTGTGAAGAGGTAATGTATGGACTAATGAAAATGCACAGAGAATTACCATCTCTGCAAATAAATCTGATGTAGGGTGAAAAACCTTAAAAGTGAATGTATAAAATCCAGTAAATGATACCAAGATAAAGGTTTCTCTTTCCTCCTCCCCACTTACTAGTGAAGAAGGGGGGGGGAGGGGGAGGAGAGTTTTCCTTCTATGCTACATCAAAAACTGAAGGGTCTGTCATTTTTAATTTGAGATTATAAAAAATTAATTCTGAAGACAACTGATAAGACTTTATTTATTGAGACTAACATTTACAGTAAACACTCAAGAATTAGTAGTATCTCTAGCTCATATTTGTCCTAAGTCTAAGTGTACACGATGAAAGCAGTGCAAGTGTTTATTTGATGTGCTTGCTTCTTAAGAGTGAAAGAAAAGATAACTTTACCGCATACCTAGAACAGTGAGTGCCTTACAAAAGTCCTCAAATGAAGCTGTAAGCTTCTTCTTTTTTGATTCTGTATAACTGTTGATTTGGAGTTGGCAACCTTTTTCTAAGTTCCTCATTTACTTTTGGATTAGCTGAAAATATAGAAGGTTATTAATATCAAAGAAATATGTTTCAGTCAGTGAAGCCATTTCCCTACATATTGCACAAAAAGATTCATAATAATTGCAGTCTTTTAATAAGATATTCATATAGCAAGACATGAAGAAAATACAGTCTTTAATAACCTCCAGAGTATTTTAAAACATGTCTTAGAGCCTTAATGCGCCTAGTAATATACTATTTAAAACCATAATTTTATCCCTGTACAATATACAGTCATTCTTCCTTGTGATTTACCCAGCTAATGAATGCCAGCAATTAGTAAAATGTAATCCCATTGCACAATCATTTTAATGCTTTTAGCACTCAGAAAAGTAAACATCAAATTAATACTGCTCAAGCCATATCAGATCCTAGCTGGAAGCAAGCAATTATAGTTCAGCTCCTCAGGTGTAATTAAATGATTGGAATGATTTAGTTCCATAAATGCAAGTTAATTCATAAGCAAGCAACAAATATACTGGGAGTAATTACAAGAAACATTGACAGTCTAAGCAGGGCATGTTCTTTTATGTACCTGTTGTAGGAAAAGGCTGCCCTCTCCTGGAGATAATAGTGAATAATAAATCTACTGAATAATCAATTCCATAACTTGGAGAATGGCATAACTTTTAGAGGTTGTAGCTTCTCTCATATGATACACAAATACCCATAATTAATTAATAGAAACTGTTTTGTTTTACATAGAGAGAAAGTCAACTATGGTGATCAAATTATGTTGGGTAACTTACTGGTAAAAGTCAACTAATACGATTTTTCCAGGCAGTTGGTTTTTTTATTTGTTTTTTTCCCTCTGTTATCAACAAAATATTACTTTTCAAAATATCTCATTATTCAATTTTGCTAAGTATGTGTCCAGGCTTATTCTTAAAAAAATCCACCATAAAACGTAGCTTATACACAATATTTGCAAGCAAGACAATATATGTTTCCATAGGGTACTCTAAGTGACATTGAGTAACAAAACTAATTACAATGCTACCATTCTGACAGCACTGAGTAACTCATACAAATCAACAAGAAGTTGGGCATGGTCATAAAAGTTTCTTTGTGAATGAATCACTAAAGAATTGCAATACAGTGTTCTACTTAAATTCCCTTTTGAAATGAAATGAAAGTTTTGTAACTGATCAACTACCGCAGGCATCACTGAGTGCTTTTATTAAGGAAACAGTCTTCTGGTTAACCTAATTAAAGTGATAATCAAAATAAATCAAAATTTAAGAAATAGTGGAAGAATATACAGGAAACAGGGTGTTAAACTTAGAAGCGAAGAGTAAGAGAAGGGTTGGAAGGGGCAAAACTAGATGGATGGATGTCGCACAAAAGAATTTGATTAGCTCCAGAGTTTCCAAGGAACTGCTGCAAGACAGACTGGAATGAAGAAGAAGGACTCAAAGAGCATCGATTCCATATAGATGGGTCTAAGGAGAGAAGAAGGTGACAGTATACCACTGGGGAAAAGGTTAAATCAAATTCTAAAAATGGTAAGAGGAAATTAAGGCCACAAAACAACATATTTCAATGACACAATTCAAGATTGATTTAAAATGCTCTTTCCTTATTCACAATCCTTCAATTCAAGGTGGTATCAATTATACATATCCTGTTTTGATATAATCATGACATCCTATTACAGCTTCCGTCCTGTACACATCAGCAACAACCAGGACATTAAGCAAGGAAAATTATAAACTGACTGTAACTGTGGCATGCCACATCCAATAACTGCAAAAACAAGGCTTTGCAAATTTAAGTGAAAAGTTACTTATGTACCTGAGTATAAATTTATTAATAACATCCCAGTTTTTAAACGAATTCCAGCCCTAACCTGTTTTTACATATTGCTTTCTAGTAAAGTGTACAGAGAATATGTAAACAGTATTTGAAAATGTCCTGTATATGGTCTTTTCCACAAACACTAAACTTACAAAAAGTACATTCAAAAACATGATTACTGCTCTTTAAGACATTGAATAGTTCCTTACTAATAAGATTTCTTGCTAGCAAAATAAGTCTCTGTTATTGATCTTTACACACTTAAAAGCAAGCAGAGGCCATGGACAAATATCTGCAGACACTATACTCATTGTCGAGATGAAATAAATCAAATTCTTTTAAGAAGTCACATTTCCAAGTTTAAAATGTACAGCACACTTGCTTTGCCCTTTGATGTCACAGTCTTATTTTTCTATTCAAATCTTGTACACTGTAAGTTAATTGCTTTTGGAAACTACTTATTATTCATGTAAAAATTAATGTGCCAATGTGTTTAAATCCTTTTAAATGACCATTCATGCATCTTTCTTCTTTAAGTACCGATGAAATCTGTCAGAGATATCAATGCAAGATGGTCTTAAAGAAAGTTCTAATAAAGATTCTTTTCTGCTAACATAAGATTTTCATTTTTGCCAACTTTACTTAAATTCCATTAATTTTTTAAGCTGCTTTTAATAAATTCACCAAGTAAAATTTTTTAGGCCCCATAGTCTGTCATTTGTGTTCCAGCTGACTTTATGAATATTAATAACAGTGTTATCCTGATTAAATAGGCTTCATATGAAATCCCTGTGAATCCTATAGCTCAGACATCTCATTTTTCCAACTCTTTATGAATTTGGATTCAGATATTAAACTGGAAAAAAATCTTAAAAAACAGATTTAATGGTACATTTGTGTATTCTTAAGCAAAAATTAGATGATCTAATGATTCAAATAATTAAAACCGATAGCCTGAAATCATAATATGTGGACCTTTCTGTAAACATGCAACATATTTTAACTCTAATGAAAACTTCAACACTTTCCAGAACAAAGGATTAAGGATCTATTATAAAATACTAATGTCTGTCCTTACACTCACCTTAAACAACAGATGATATAGTCTTAACTCATGTATATGAGTTTTAGAGTTGCAAAAAGAATTCCTAAAGTTTCCCTAAAGGAAAATAACTATTGATGGATCTTTGGTTATGTACATTTAAATACCAAATACATGCACACAGTGCATTTATTACAGTTTAAGTATAATGATTTCAATCTTTTAATACATATAAAACCATACTCATATCAGACACCCAAATTAAACTAAACAACATTAACATTTACCTGGTGTACTTCTGTTCTCATTCAAAAATGGCCTAAGTTTTCTAACAGGGTCATGCCAAAGTACCCACATGCTCTCAACTAACAAATCCTTAGCTACATGCATGGGCAACTCTGATTTATGTACATGCACTAGAGGTTCTGTACAGCTTTGTCAGACATCAGATTGAAAAATTGGGACAAACTGTCCTGTGTTATAGCCAGAACAAAAAGTTACTTTATTTTCATCATGCAATATGAAATAGAAGCATCACTTACCTCATTCAGTTAGGGCCCAATCCTGCAAAGGGACCCCTTCAATCTTTAGCCCTAGGTATAAACGTTTGCTTAGATGGATTCCATTGCAAGAACAGGGCCTTAACTATTAGATTTACTAATCACCAAGATTATTTAATTCACTCATTATCAGAAGAAGTTATATGTTAGAATATTTTAAAATGTTTAAACTTTCAGAGTAAATAATTTCTGAGGATGATTTGTTTTTAGACTTCAGTCACTTTCTACAACGTATGAACAAATTAATTTTCCAGCTAATGAGGATTTTCTACAGCCTGTATGCACTGTATGCGTATCTCTGTCCTTCACTATAGTATGCATTTTTATTGGTTTGGTGCCCACAACATTCTAGGTGCTTTGCAGACTTATTAAATTGAGCTGGTTCCTTATCTGTTTTCCCTACTGTCTGAACTAGCAGAGTACTCTTTTATTTCACTTAGTAGAGATATATGTTTTTGGCAGTATCAGTATAAGGTTAGGCCTGGTCTCTTCGTGTACCGTTACATGATTATATCATTACATATTGGGCTCTGAGCTCTTAGAATGTACATTGGTGAACCACCGATACCCTGCAAAGCACTGTTTTGAGTGAAGGTTGGTATGTGAAGGGGTGTGATCTACTGATTTCTGCACAGTTGTTCTACTCTCCTGTGCTAGAAGGAATACAGTCAAATTCATTTAGGATGTGTGGGCTGACCAAGCAATTTGACAAAACCCATTTACCTAAACCAAACTGACTACTTATGAGAGACGCATGCCAGGGGTTCTTAAAACCTTAGATGTAAACAAGGTCTTACGAGAGTGTGTCTCATGGACACCTCTTCTGTCATTCAGAACTGCATAGCACGCCAGGGCAACCATAGCAATCATTTATATAAAAAATATTCGGAAAGCCTTTAATTTATCTATAACTACCTTGACAGTGATATAGCCATGTTAACAAAGGAGGAGCTGGCGGCAGCACCTTGTGACCAGCCAGGTCTCCACAGACCCATAGCAAGTGATCCATAGACCACGCTTTGGATACGGATACCACAGATTTGTGCTATTGCTTAAGATTAAAAAAAAAATCCACAACAAATAATTTTCTTTGAACATTTTCTGTACCAGATTCTGCTTCTCTCTTTGAAGTGTATTAAGACCATTCTTGTTACTGCTGTTCATATGGCAGTAACATCCAAACACCCAATCAGGATCAGGGCCCCACTGTGCAAGGCACTGTACAAACCCACAATAAAACATGGTCCTTATCCTGAAGAGCTTACCATCTAACTTGAAACAAGCTATAGGTGAGCCAAGTCACCATGTGATCTTATGTGCACATATTTATGTTCCTGAATTGTGTTTTTGTTTGTTTGTTTGTTTGGGGTTGTTTTTTATATATATATATTCGCTGCAAGTGCTGGTCAGCCTGTCATTAGTTGGCTGATTTTCTTTTAGCTGTCACACCAGATGTGGGTCTTGAACAGGGGTGCTGGAACAATTTGTATAATGGGGGTGCTGAGAGCCATTGAACCAAACTGTAAACCCTGTGTATGATAAAAGTCCCTTCAAGCCAGGAGGTGCAGCAGCACCTATGGTCTTGAGGAGTGGTTTGAAGGAGAGAGTGGATGGATTAACTGATGGATTAACTCAGGAAGTGTATTACATGTGCAAGAGGTGGCATGGCAGCATGGAGAGAGTTGTAGGAAAAGTGAAAATGGGCATTCATTTGCAGCTTCCATCTCTATCATCTCTACCACAGGGAAACTCAATGTCCCCTTCCCAAATGACAAAGACAGACATTCTAACTTCGGTCTCTTGAATAACTATCTCAATCAGTTATTTTGGAAAAGGACAGGATTCTCTACGGAGCGCTCCTTTCCTCCTCTCTCCTTGATAGTGGGCTCCAACTCCTTTCACAAGTCACATAACCCTCCTCATGTACTGAAAAATCTGAAATTACATGCAGAGAGTGGCCCCCTGCCATATTACCTTCCTTGACAGAGTAAGGCTGAATAGGATTTCATTCAAAGCTCACCAAAACTTATCCTACTGTGGTTACCAGCTGTCTCTAGACAGCAACATAAGTGCTCCATCCCTCCACCCCAAGTCTACATGAGCTGCCTTCCCATGCCAGCCCATGAAGCAAGAAACAGAACCTTGGACTCAATATAGTGATTCTCAAGTCATCTTAAAAGGCTTTGACTGAAATCAAGTATTTATCCTTTTTCTGTAATGAATGAACTAGTAGAATTGCTCCATTATCTGAACAAGTAGAGTGTGTTTGGAGCCAAAAAGCTGTGAACTGTACTCCTAATGTGTATACTTAGCTAATATTCCCTCTATATACGTGACTAGAGATTGTTCATTACACTAGGTCAGGGGTGGGGAATCTCTGGCATCAGGGCTGGATCCGGCCTGCTGCTTCATTTCATCACAGCAAGTCTCTGCGCTGTGGGCCGGAATCCCTGAGACTTGGCGCCACCCCCACAGGGTTGGAGCTGCGAGTGCCGGCTCAGCCCGCTGCAGAAGGAAACTGGGGTTGCCAGGTCATTTAAAGTCTGGTCAGCTCTGCACAGCTCCCAGAAGCAAACGGCATGTCCCTGCGGCCCCTAGGCGGAGGGGTGATCAGGGAAACTCTGCATCCTGCCCCAGCCCCCAGCCCCAGCTCCGTAGCTCCCATTGACCAACTGTGGCCAATGGGAGCTGCGGGCGTGGGAAGCACGCACTGTGCAGAGCCCCCTGGCCCCTCTACCTAGGGTCTGGACATGGTGGCTGCGTCTGAGAGCAGCCTGGAGCCAGGGCAGGCAGGGAGCCTCCCTTAGCCCCACCGACCTGGAGCTGCCTGAGGTAAGTACCGCCTGACCGCAGCCCGCACCCCCCGCCCCAGGTTGGAACCCCCTCCTGCACCCTAACTCCCTCCCAGAGCCTGCACCCTATGCCCCAAACCCATGCCCCAGCCCTAGCCCCTCCTACACCCAAACTCCCTCCCAGAACCCACACCCCGAACCTCCTCCCGCACCCCAACGCCCTACACCAGCCCTGAGCCTGTCCCACACTCCAAACCCTTTGGCCCCAGCCCAGAGCCCCCTCCCATACCCTGAACCCCTCATTTCTGGCCCCACTCAGAGCCTAGGGGAAGCCCTGAGCCTCCATGCCCCTGACCCACAGGGCTGTCTAGCCCACGACTGATTTTTTCTGTGGGTCAGTGGCCCCTGATAGAAAAAAGGTTGCCCACCCCTGCACTAGGTAAAATTCTGCAGTTTCTACACAAACGTTCTCTTGGGGTTACATCTTTGATAGAAATGCTGTATGCTCTAGGAAAATACCACAGACAGCTCAGTAGATCTGGTTAAAACATGCAGTACTATAAAATCAATAGATGCTAACATTCTTCAGAAGTGTGAAATTCTAAGCAGTTTGTACTTAAAAGAAAAAAATGGACGTAGGTCAACATTAGAACTACAAATTGGCCATGAAAATGTGGCCACTAGATGGAAGAAGATATTTGCATAAAAAGGGCAAAATACAAAGTTTACTTAATTTGTGCATTCCACAATGAACTTGATAACCCCATATTACAAACACCTTTTAATCTTCAGCGACTCCTCCATGGCTTTATTGTCTTTCAAGCAAACAACTCCTGTTTAAGTGACAGGAAACTGAGCTGGCACTCATATAGTTTCCAGTGCATTTTTCCCTTGGTGAAGAAGGGATAAGAAGAATGCAGATTTTGAGTTAGAAAGGTCTGGAATTCTGTCCCTAAACTCAGCAGATTTCTGGGGATTCAACCAATGCTACTACCATCCACGTGGAAGCGTAGGGTGAGTTTCACAAGGGGAACTTAGATACCTAAGTCCAACAATTAGCCACAACTGGCATTGAGAAAATTCCTGCTCAGCTGCTGCCTAACCCAAGGTGCCTAAGTTTCCATCATTAAAGGGTCCTGAGCATCTGGGCATGCACATAGTCACTAAGTCCTGACACTGCCCAGTAGCTCAGCACTTAACTCATGCTTAAGCCCCAGTGGGATTCACAAATCAGGAATTCTCCACTTATCTTGCCTTCGGGGCCCAGTTCAGTAGGTATGCTTATAGCATGCCCAAATCCATGGAAGAAGAAGAGGTGGTGGTGGTGCCCTTATGACTTTTAGCCCAATGGTTAGAGAACTCACCCACAATGTGGGAGAGCTGAATTCAAATTCCCCATCTGCTTGATGTGGAGCAGGGATCTGAAGTTATTCTCCCACCTCCCAGGTGAGTGCTCTAACCACTGGGCTATAGAGTCAATCTCTCTTTCTCTCTCTCTCCCTCTGTCCCAAAGAATATTTAAGTATTTCTACACAGTGGAACAGCTTCAACACAAGACACAGAGAAACTTACACCACCATATCCCACAGCACAGTGATTAGGGCACTCTCCTGAGAAGGAGGAGACCCCAGTTCAAATCCCTCCTCTGTATCAGGCAGAGGGGGGATTTGAACCTAGGTCTCCTACATCCTGGGTGAGTGCTTCATCCACTGGTTTTAAGGCGATAAGGAGGGGGCAACCTCCACCTTCTCATTTTTTCTTGGAAAAGAACTGACCTGGATTAGGCACCAAACTCCAGGAGGAATTCACAACAGTGAACCCTCAGGTGGAAATGGACACTTCCTTCTGTCCCGAACTTCGGCACCTAAGTCCCTTTCAGAGGCAAGGGTTAGGCTTCGCCTCTCCCCTCAGCATTTTCTCCTGGCTAGCTTAGGTGGCTCCCGAGGAAGCACGCTGGCTTTTGTGAATCCCATTCTTAGGCGTCTAACTCTCCCCTAGGCATTGTATAGGGAGCCTGGATGCCTAACTTAGGTTTGTGAATTCCACTAGGCAGCAGGACACTTAAAATGGAGACACTGTGTGTATGTCTACACTACAATTAGACACCCGGAGCTCACCTGTGCCAGCTGACTCAGACTCGCAAGGCTTGGGCTGCAGTGCTGTTTAACTGCAGTGTAGACATCTGGGCTCAGGCTAGAGCCTGGGCTCTAGGACCCTGTAAGGTGGGAGGGTCCCAGAGCTTGGGCAGCAGCCCCAGTCAGAATGTGTACACTGCAGTTAAACAGCCCCACAGCCTGAGTCAGCGGGCATGGGCTAGCCATGGGTGTCTAACTGCAGTGTAGACATAAAGTGCAATGCTGAGCAATGCAGCCCTCCAGCCCTTTCCCACCTATGGTGCCGCTCTTGCTCCTTGGCACCACCATTTCTGAACAGCCTTGGAGTAGAGACTCCTCCTGATAGCTGCTGCTGCTGCCCCCGAACCACCTCATGGGACTGGGTGTAAGTTAATGCTGATAAGGCTAGCACTGTCTTACCAGCAAAAATCCTGCAGGGGTGGGGGGGGGGAAGGGGCCGCCACAGTGCTTGAATGACCATCCTCCCCCCAGCTCTGCCTTCTCCCAAACTGCAGACTCATCAATTCCACCTGGAGAGCTTTCCGTGGGCCTGTGAAAAGGTGGCAGTATCTGATGCTAAGGTGGATGGCACTCGCTCCTTACATGCTCTGTTACTTAGAACTCCCCATTTTTGACACCATCCACCCATAAAAGCAAAGGCTCAGTGTGCTTTTACCAGCCACAGTTTTGCTACTTGCCATGTTGGAAAGATCTTGTAGATCTGTCTAGATATCGCACAGTAAAGGAAAAGTTTACACAGACTTAAAAAAAAACAACCCAGCCTCATCAGGCCACTATACATTTGGAATAGTTCCAAGCCAATATTTGTCCTGTACCTTGGATGTAAGTGACAGTTACCATTGACATATTAGAGGGTGCAGGGAGGGATACAGAAGAGGGAAGATTATATGCTCTATTGATAAGGAAGTAAAGTTTGAAATTTAGGATTATTTTCATAGGGTTAATTAGATACCAGGATCTTCTAAAATATCCTGAAACGTTTTGCCCCAGGCCAAGGTAAACTAAATCACTTAATCTAGGAGGGTACAGCATATAAAAACAAAAGTCAGCTTACAGAATAGTTTCCCCAGGGAACAAACAGCCTGTTTTGTTTTGCTTTTTTGTATTCACATGGAAGCCAAGTTTTGATGAAGTGACACACTCCTCCACAAAAGGCTTATATTTCCATAGAACCAACAAACTTACCAGAAAATCAAAAGTCTATAAGCACCCAAAGCAAGTTCAGATCAATCTATGAAGACAGCTGGTATGAAAAGTCCCTATTGTTCAAAAGAAAAAGATTATAAGAAACAATTATAATAACTAATTCACATACATATCAAAAATATAATAAAAAACACCAGACTCAAGTTTTCATTTACATACAATAGAACTGTTTTACTATTTTATTGATATATTAAAATCAGGACCCCTCATGTCCCTGGTGGTTTTTTTTGGGGGGAAGGGATTTTTAAAAACACCCTATACACCATAAACTTGCACTCTCTGTCTCCTTTCTGCCTCTAACCCCCATAACAAACTCCATTTGCACCTTTATTTATTAATTCTCTTCTGTCCATATGTTCTGCCCTCCTTCTCCTGAATTTTCTTTTGTTTCCTATTTCGTTTTTCTCACTTTGTCTTCTGCTCTTTGCTCCTCTCTCCCCCTGCCTCCAAACAAGCGCTGGCCTGAGGTTTTGAAAGAGGTGTCTGTGCGGTTTCCTTTACTCTCTTTCCCCTCAAAGTCTGTCCCTACTTTAAATTCCATCTTCTCTCTCCCTATACTTTCCCCCTCAAGTGTATTTTTCCTGCTAGGCCTCATCATCTCCATTCTCCACATTTCCAATCTGGCCAAGTATTAGCCCAAAGAGCTTCCTGGCATCTGAGCTTGGATAAACCCCCAAATCCTCCATGCCAGGGCAGTGTGGAAAACCACCGCTGAGGTCATAACCTGCTTTGATCAAGCGTGAAATAGTCCATTTCAGCATCTAAATGGGCATCATTAGGCTTCAATGCAAAACACCCCTTGAGATGAAAATGGGCAGTTGAAAATTCTCAAAGCTATTGTTTCAGTCATGCAGTCAGACAGGCCTTAGTGCATCAGTTTCCATTGTCCCCACAACCGGACAATCGTCTCTGCAACCTTGAAGGCTCAAAAGACAATTTTTAAGCATTAAATGTTTTGGTTTCCCTTCATAATAACAAGCGTAACATAACAATTCCAGTTATTAACAATTAACAACAAGCACAACGATACAATATAAAGTCATATTCCTGACATACAATAACAACACATATTTGTTTTCTGCTTTATGTTGTAAGGCAGTAGAGGAAAAGAATCATAGGAAATGATGGGAAGATGACACATGTAACATGGCATGGCAGACACTCTTCCACCTGTGTATGATATTTCTTTTATCATGAAATAAGGGCATTAATCTGTAACTGTTTCGAGCACTGTTTTAGCAGGCCCATCAACAGAGTTCCCAATAAATATCAGCTTCTCACAGTGATCTGTCAGGTTAGTTTCTGAGTAATGAGACCAGACCCCAAGAATACTGGTTTGTAGGGCAGCCATGAACTAGCCCAGTTTGACCTCTGATGCAGACAGAACTGAAATACTGACCAGACTTTCTGAAACTATTTGATTAAAGTAAAAGTCCAGAGATTTTTCCCATTTACTGTATCTTAGAGAAAGACTGAAATGAAAGCCGGTAAAAAATGTTGATATGCTTAAAGTGAAACTCTAAAACAAACTTTAGAAATGGTTTAGGAGACATCTGATAATATGGCTATACTATCTTCCCTTTGCAAAATCCACTGTACAATAGATCACAAGAGTATCTAAGATGTCCTAATACTCCTAATTACAGCTTCCGCTACCAGCAAAACAAGTCAATACTGTCTTATTCCCCCCCGACCCCAATATACTGAAAGAATGAAATTAAAGCAATAGGATGGCATCATAGCATGGTATCATGTCGCACACAAGCACGCAAAGAGGTGTCTCAGTGTTGGTATCATAACAAACATGTCTACATGCATGTGGGCCATAATTTTAAACACAACCTATAATTCACAATCAAAACAACACAGTCATTTTCAGTAGTTTCAAGAGACAGAAGAAATTTGGAGGAGACGTGGGGAGGGGGGAGACGACAAATTTAGAAATGAAGTAGAGGAGCTGCAAATCTACTGGCTAAACTTACAGTATCCAAATTTTCTTCAGCCATAATCACCTCTTTACAAATAATCTTCCATTTTTCTGAAAGCCAAATTATTAAAAACATAAAACAAACACGCAGTTCTTGAACAGTCTCTAATTTCTGCACTAAATTTAGGGTTGTCAGGTGTCCTGTTTTCGGCTGGAATGCCCAGTTGAAAAGAGACCCTGGCTGCTGACAGGGCCGTCAAAAGTCTGGTCGGTAGCAGAGCGGGGCTAAGGCAGGCTCCCTGCCTGCCTTGATTCCACGTGGCTCCCAGATGCAACGACATGTTCCCCCTCTGGCTTCTATGCATAGGGGCAGGCAGGGGTCTCCGCACGCTGTCCCCGCCCCAAGCACCAGCTCTGCAGCTCCCACTGGCTGGAAACCATGACCAATGGGAGCTGTGGGGGCGGTGCCTGCTGACAGGGCAGCACACAGAGCCGCCTGGCCATGCCTCTGCATTGGAGCCGGATGGGGGACATGCCGCTGCTTCCAGGCTGCCTGAGGTAAGCGAAGCCCATAGCCTTCACCCCTGACCACCCCCTCTGCACCCCAACCCCGTGCCCAAACCCTGATCCCCTTCCCACCCTCTGAACACCTTGGTCCTAGCCCGGAGCCCCCTCCTGCACCCCAAATCCACCCCAGAGCCTGCACCCCCAGCCGGAGCCCTCACCACCCCACACTCCAATACCCTGCCCTAGCCCAGAGCCCCCTCCCTCACTCTGAACCCCTCATTCCTGGCACCACCCCAGAACCTGCACCCCCAGCCCAGAGCCCACACCTCCCTCCCACACCCCAACCCTCTGCCTCAGCCCAGAGCCCCCTCCCATACTCTGAATCCCTCGGCTCCACCCCCCAGCCTGGAGCTCCCTCATGCACCCCAAACCCGTCATTTCTGGCCCCACCCCAGAGCCAGCATCCCCAGCCGGAGCCCTCACCCCATTCCGCACCCCAACGCCCTGCCCAACCCCAGTGAAAATGAGCAAGTGAGTGAGGGTGGGGTGAGTGAGGGACAGAGGGAGGAGAGATGGAGTGCGTGGGGGGGGGGCTTTGGAGAAGGGGTGAGGCAGGGGTGGGGCTTTGGAGGAGGGGCCGGGCAAGGGTGTTCAGTTTTGTGCGAGCAGAAAGTTGGCAACCCGAACTATATTGCCACTAACTGTAAACACATACAGTCATGTTACATGTACTCAATCCATTCTAGATATAGAACAGAAAAACTAGAAGCCCTTTTGTATCCCTTACAATCAGCACAACAGTATTTCTCACATGCCTTCCAGGTGGTTTTCCAAATAAGAATGCACTTCCTTTTTTATCATAAACTGTTGGATGTGCAGTGGACATATCCAGAATGGTTGATCCTCTCAATTTCTGTGGCATACTACACTTATAAAGGCCAGCCACACTAGAGTTAAATCAGTCATTCAAAATCTATAGAGGGAATGAGGCGCAGGCAAGTAAAAAAAGACACTACCACTGAAATGAACTGGCTTTGTGAGGAGAATTAACTTGGACTTCATATTCTGAACTAAATGATTGAGGAGAAAAAAAAATCCAGAAACTTAGGTGCTGAATTCTTCCCTCACTTACATGCTACTTCTGACTCATTGAAGCCAACAGGAGTGCACTGGTGTAAATGAAAGCATACGTTTGTCTGTAGATCTGTAAAGTTTCAATAGCAATTATTGGGCTCCTCTCCTCAATTTAAGATGCTTGATAAGTACTGCAAACACATCTAGCAAGTAAATGCTTCCCCCACTCATGACAAAAATAGCCCAACATTTTAAAATTGGCAAGAAAAAACAAAGTTATGAAAAGCGTAATGCATTTCAGGGTCCATGTGTTATACTCCATTAACAACACTTCACAGGTGTTGAAAACACTCTACATTAGCCTTGTGCCTTATATCACACCTAAGGCAAAGGGTATAACACATGCCCTGTCATGTGCTGTTGCTTATTTAGCTATGATAAGCAGACTAGTGTTTTTGTAAATGTAACGCAGATGTTTCTCACAGACTATACATACCACTAAAGAGAGCTAACAGGGAAAAGGGGAAAAGTACTTGGATAAGAACACCTTTAGACGGGGGGGGGGGGAAGGGAGGACAGTCTGGGACCATCCCAGGAGAATCAGATATTTTAAAGCAAGCTAGAGCCTAATGAAAACAGCAGATAAGTGCTGGATCTCTTCAGGAATTAAATATGATGAAAACAGTGTTCAGAATTTAAATGGATGATGAAAATCAAAAGGACCCAATCCTGCAAATACATATTGCCATGAGTTGTCCCACAGCAGCAACAGCAAAAGGTCAGGTGAAACTTCAGGTTTACATCTACTAGCCAGAAGCCAATACAAAAGAAGAACCTCCCATGAATTGTGCTTGAGTGGCTAACAGGCTAGTGGTCTCAGGGAGCTGACACCCAGTTAAGCACAAAGCAAGACTTCCTCATGCTGGAGGCAGAGAGTAGCAAGGTGATTCTCAGTCCTGGCTATCCTGAGAACTATCACATTTCCTCCTTCCCCACTGGTCAGGGCCTAGAGACAACACCTTGATAGTAATCCCAACATCCAGCTGGGAAAGGCAGGGGGCTGGGCTTACCACCAGAGCATTTCTGCTGGACCTCCCTGTGAGGCCAATGATCTCTCTGGGTATGTCTACACTTCAGTTAAAAACCAGCTGCTGGCCCATGTCACCTGACTCGGGCTAAGGGCTGTTTAACTGTGCTGCAGGCATTTGGGCTTGGGCAGGAGTCCAGGCTCTACACATTGCAAGGTGAGAGGGTCCCAGAACTTGGGCTGCAGCCTGAGCGCAAACATCTACACCACAATTAAACAGCCTCTTTGCCTGAGCCCAGGTCAGCTGGCACCGGCCAGCCACGGATGTCTAATTGCAGTGTAAACATACCCTCTCTCTCTCCTGGATAGTAGGTTTCTGAGAAGTTTTTCAAGACCTGCATTGCATTTTTTATAATAATATTATATTCATACAGACACCAGCCTAGCACAATCCTACTCACCCACTTGCAAGCAATACTTTTTTGATGGCCAAATTAAATGTTAGGGGCTTTCTGCCA